TCCCCGCCTCTTTGACCTGTCTCCTCTCCACCTATCTTCTCCTCTATTCATCTTCTATCTGCCTCCCCCTCTCTCCCTATTTATTTCAGAACCCCTTTCCCCTCCCCCATTTCTGAAGAAGGGTCTAGGCCCGAAACATCAGCCTTCCTGCTCCTCTGATGCTGCTTGGCCTGCTGTGTCCATCCAGCTCTACACCTTATTATCTCAGGGCCTGTTTAAGCATCTGTTTAAAATGATGCGAGATGATCTTCTAAAAATTGATAAGATTGTGAGGGCATTTGTCATGGTAAATGCTGAAAGGATATTTCTACTGCTGGTGAAAATAGGACTAGGGAAGACAGTTTAAAACTAATAGATCTCCCATTTAGGACGGCAGATAAGGATAATTGCTCTTCTCTTAAGGGTCATTCCGCAATGAAGTCTAGATCTTTAAGACTGTGTTAGACAGATACCTGGTCAGGAAGATTGTCAAAGAGTAAGTAACAGAAAGGTAAAGTTGAAACAAAGGTCAAATCAGCCATGATCTTATTGAATGGTGGCATAGGCTGAGGGGTTTGAATGGGCTAGTCCTGCTCGTAGTTCATATGGATGTCCCAATCATTCTAGGGATGAAGGCGATTACAGGGAAAGAAAGGCCCTTTGGGAAGGGGGTGAAAATAGTAAAATTGAAGCACTGTTTAACCAGTGACGTATCTAGGTCAGCAAGTACTGGGGTAATGGGTGACTGGGGTTGTGTTTAAGTTCGGAAATGGATAGCAGTGTTTTAGAAGTTTACAGAGCTTTGTATATTGGACACCAACCTGCAGCTTTTTAGAATGGTCAAGTCTCAAGTGAACAAAGGTGTCGATAAGTATTTCAGCAGTGAATGGTTTGAGCTGGAGCAGAGTTGAGTGGAAGTAGGCAGTCCTAGTAATGGCTTGGATATGTGATTAAAAGTTTAGCTCAGAGTAAAATATATTATTGAGATTACGAACAGTCTCAGACAGTTGCTAGCGAGCAAGTCAGTGACAAGGCAGTGGAGCTTATGGAAGAGATCAAAGAAAATGTTTCATTCCTTCCAATACTTAACTGGAGAAAATATCTGATTATTTAGTACTTGATTTGTGGACAGTGGCATTACTGTCAAACGAATATTGACACTGACACACCAAAAAGTTCACCCTTCATACTCAACCTTGACAAAAGGAAGTGGCTACACAATGCCAAAATGAATTGTACTTCTCTCTGATACTTGTTCTGCAGTTCTTAGAAATAAATGAATTACTAACATTACTGTACAGCATCTTGGCTCTCATTACAACTTTGCTCCTGCAGCATATTTTTTATCTAATGTTTAACACAGTTTCCCTTTTGTCATCCCATACAAGGCACTGCTTCAGCACAATTGATAACATGTTCAGCTGAAAGATGGAACATGTCACGCTGGCAAGAAACACTTTCCTGTTTCACTTCAGCTCTTGAGCTTTGCAGAGAAACAGCTTCGAAGCAAATCGATTTAGAAGCAGATTTATTGTTTCAGAAAGGTATACCATCTACAATAGTATACTATGCTTTGTCAATGAATATTATAATCAACATATTAATCTTTTAGGGCGGCACGGTGGTGCAGTGGTTAGCACTGTTGCCTCACAGCGCCAGGGACCTGGGTTCGATTCCAACCTCAGGCGACAGTCTGTGTGGAGTTTGCATATTCTCCCCATGCCTATGTGGGTTTCCTCCGGGTGCTCCGGTTTCCTCCCACAGTCCAAAGATGTGCAGGCTAGATGGATTGGCCATGCTAAATTGTCCATAGTATTCAGGGGTGTGTAGATTAGGTGGATAATAGGGGGGTTGGTCTGGGTGGGATACTCTGAGGGTCGGTGTGGGCTTGCTGGGCCAAAGGGCCTCTTTCCACACTGTAGGGATTCTATGATGATATTTCTAATTATGATAAAAGCAGAAAGTGCCAGAGACACTCAGCAGGATTGGCAACATCTGTGGAGAGAAACAGAGTTAATTGTTTCGACTCCAATATGACTCTTTGTCAGACCCTGGCTCACATATGTATATGATGGGGCAGGAGGTGGGAGGGTAAATGAGTGCACCTCCAACATTGCTGTCTGCTCCCAAAAACCCTGACTGTGTTATGTTCTAATCACATGGTACAGCCAGCCTGCTCTTAAGACAGACTGTATCTCAAAAGGAAGCTGTGCAAAAATATTTATAGCAATATAATTTCTTGTGAAGTGATCACCAGAACAAACTGAGTAACACATTGTGATAAATGGAATGCTAGTGGCATTACAGTTATTGGTGATCAGGAGGAGAGATGCCGTGGCCCCACTGGAGTTGGAAGATCTTCCAGGGCTCCACTGCATGTAGCAGTGGAGGTTAATTTCCAGAGTCTAGATTCACAAATCTGTCAGCAGTGCCACAAGAGGTAGAACGATGTGGGTGGTCAAGGCCAGCGATTGCAACTTCTGTTGAATTCTCTTGCCCACTGGAGCACCAACCCCTCTCAATTCTCACTGCACCACACACATCACTCACTCAGCATCACCCTCTAGCACTCAAGACTCATTCCTAAATATCTAACTGCTCAAGCATTACCCCCATACACTTACCATTGCTGCCAGCCTCACATCTATCTCTCATTGCTTCTATATTGCATCCAGCTATTCAGCTATTAAAAGCCACATCAACCAAACAGGAATATTATACAACCACTTCCAGACTTGTAACATGTCCCTTTCATAAACTGTGAGCCCCCCACATTCCCAATCTACACTCTCCCCTTTCCTTGCCTGCAGCTTCCACATAACCACAATGTACAACCTTGCTTCACAGCTGACCAGTCCAATCTAACTTTCCCAAATATCAGCCCGTGGATGTCTACATAATCTGTTTCAGTTGAGAGACGGAACTAAGAAAGTGATCAGGACACCAGGTTGAGATGCTCTTCGGATGGTCGGTGCAGACTCAATGGGATGAATGGCCTTTATCTGTGCTGTAGGAATTCCATGATTCTATTCTATGAGTAATGGCATAGGAAGTCATATATTCAAATTTGCTGATGATACAGAATTAGGCAGCATTGTAGATATTGAAAAAACAGCATAAAATTATGAAGGGATACTAATAGCCTAGGTCAATGGGCAAAACTGGGTAGATGGATTTAAATGTAAGAAAATGTGAAGTTATCCATTTTGGACTAAAAAAGTATAGACCAGGGTACTTTCTAGATGGCATGAAGTTAAATAAAGTGGATGCCCAAAAAGATTTTGAGATTCAGATGAATAAATCTCCAAAATGACATGATCTGATAACAGCAAATAATTAAGAAAGCTAATGGAATGCTGTCCTTTATAGCTAGAGGACTGGAGTACAAAGATGCAGAAGTTATGCTGCAGTTATACAAAACTCTGATTAGACCCCACTTGGAGTACTGTGAGCAGATTTGGGCACCTTAGGAAGGATATCTTGGCCTTGGAAAGAGTACAAAGTAGGTTTACAAGAATTGTACCTGGACTTCAGGGAATAAGTTATGAGGAGAGATGATACAAATTAGACCTGTTTTCTCTAGAATTTAGAAGGTTAGGGTGATTTGATCAAGGTCTTCAAGATATTAAAGTGAAAAATACAAGGTAGATAAGCTGATTGGAGAACTAGGGGCCATAGCCTGAGAATTAGGGCCAGACCATTCGGGAGAGATGTTAGGAAGCACTTCTACACACGAAGGGTGACAGAGGTTTGGAACTCTCTTCCACTATTGACAGTTGGTGCTGGATCAGTTGTTCATTTAAAATCTATTTTTGTTAAGAAAACATATTAGGGAATATGAGCGAAAGGCATGTATATGGAGTTAGGCCACAGATCAGCCATAATCTCATTGAGTAATGGAATAGGCTGAGGGGTTGAATGACCTATTCCTGTTCCTACATTCCTCCATTTCTACCACCTCCAGCATAATGCCACTATAAAAAAAAACATCTTCTCTTCCTGCTTCTGCATTTCAAAGGAACTGTTGTCTCTGAAACACAATGTTCAACTTCCCCTTCACCACCAACATCCCTTCACCTTCAAACCCCTTTGCTTTCCTATACCATCTTTATACATAAGTGCAGGACATGCTTCACCTGCACTTGTATCTCCTCAATTCTCACTGTCCAAAGCTACAGATATTCCACTTGAGGGGGAAACAATGATTTATTTACCCTTATGTTTTTCTATTTCTTAGATCCTGTATTCTCTGCTCATAATGTGGTATCTGCCACACATGGTAGACTCAATTCAAACTTGTGGAACACCTTTGTCAGACAGTCATCCTGAGCTCACTATCAGTCATTTTAATTCTCTACCTTGTTCCTCTTCTGATCTTCTGACCTTTCAGTCCTTGACACAAACATACAAATTAGAAACAGGAGAAAGCCACTCGAGCCTGCTCTGCCATTCAATAAATTCATTGCTGTTTTGATTATCCATTTTTCTAAGTCCTGCCAATTACCTCCTAGCTCATCAAGAATATATCCACTTCTGCCGTAAAAATATTCAAACACTTGTCTTCCAATCTTTTTGAGGAGAATTCTGAAGACACATTACTCTGTGAGAAAAAAAATCTTGCTAACTGTTCTAAATGGGCAACTACTTTTATTTTGAAACAGTGACACCCAATTTGAAATATTCCCACAAGCAGAAATATTCACTCCACATCAGGATTTTGTATGCTTCAATTGCCTCTTACTGTTTTCAGCTCCAGTGGATGCAAGCCCAGGCTGTCCATTCTTTCCTCTTAAGACAATCCGCCCATTCCAGGTATTAGTCATGTAAAATCATTCTTTGGACTGCCTCCAACACATTTACATCCTTCCTTAAATTAGGACACCAATACTCTATGCAGTATGCCAAATGTGATTTCAGTAATTCCCTGTACAATTGAACTATAACCTTGGAATGCTACACTGTTCCACTGAAGCTCAATGCCAGTTTAAGGAACAGTACTTCATCTCTTGACATGGCACTTTGCATGCTTCTGGATTTAATATTGAGTTTAACAATTTTAGATATGGATCCCATTTGATTCTTCTCGTTTGATATTTTATCTCTTGCCCCTCTCTTATTTTTGGTTCTCTGGATTTGGACAGCAGCTACCCTAACCATTCATTCCTCCTCTAGACATAAGTTCTATTTCTTCAACAAAACAAAGAACAAAGAATAAAACAAAGTAGATCTGAAACAAATACAGAAATTGCTGGAGAAACTCAGCAGGTTTGGCTGAATCCGTGGAGACAGAAACAGAGTTAACATTTAGAGTATAGTGACCCTCTGACAAAGGCAACACAAAACCTTTTAACCACTTAATCCTTCCTGTACTTCACCCTAACACAGGTTTCCCCATATTTTGAAGTCGGGGAAGAAGGTAAAAGAAGAAGTGGTGTCACAATATTGATCAAGAAATCAATTAAAGTAGTAAGGAGGATGACATCTTAGACATCCTCGTAAATCTTTTCTGAACCCTCTCTAGTTTCACAACATCTTTCCTATAGCAGGGAGACCAGAAATGCAGGCAATACTCCAAAAGTAGCTGAACCAATGACCTATACAGCTGCAACATGACCTCCCAACTCCTATACTCAATGCACTGACCCATAAAGGCAAACATACAAAATGCCTTCTTGATGGACTGAAGGATCTTTTCTCTGTGCTGTAGACCTCTATGATTCTATAAATGTGCCATGTCTCTTCAAACCGCAAATCAGTTTTCAATTAAGTTAGATGTTCATCAACAAATGAGCTAAAATTGTTTCATGTATTTGGTTTTGTTTTAGGAAAGATACTGCGCCAAATGACAGAAATGAATTATGAGAAGACCCTTGAAGCTGCTAATTTTTTGATGGAAGCTATCAATGTCAGTTACTTTCATGACCAAAATCTCTGGTAAGTTTAAACAGGAACAATTAACTATAGAAGCTAAAAATCAGAAAGAAAACCTGAAAATGCTGGAAAAACTCAACAGTCTGTGCAGCCAGAAACAGAGTTCAAATTTCACATCAATAACCTTTTATTAAACTTTCCATTTCATCATGCCAAATACATCCAGTCAATCAAACAATGATAACACTACAGGGGCTATGGGGAAATCACTAATTAATCTCCCTATGCAAGTTGTTGAGTATGAATTCCCTTGGTAACAGACAATGCCTGGCCAGCGGGAATTCATCACCTGAGCCCTTTAAAAAGCAAATCCCAATCTTGGTTGTGGGCGATTATACCCCCTTTTCAGTTATTTGAAAAATCTTTTGTTGAGCTTTTGATTGAACTTCAACTCCACGCTCCTGATCTTTGGGCATCTCGTGAGGAGGAGTGTGGGCCAATAGGAGGACCTTCTCATGGGTCTGTTCCTGGGCCTGGCCTGGGTGACTATTAACAAGTCCAGGCAATGGGCTGTGGAGAGAGTCATTTCTGCTGTCTGCCGCTCTTCTGCAGTTATGTTTGTGCCCGGGTATAATTGACAGGGAGCACGCAGTGTCCTTCAAATGCTCTCGAAGCCTTGGGGAGAGGTAAGCACCATGGGAGATAGATTGTTTTATTTCCCCATCTAACTCCATTTGATTCAGTCGCATCCCTCTCTTCCTACCTCCATCTTACCTTTGGTTTGCATTGCGCGTAATGGACTTTGCTTGTAAGCACTCAATTGCCTACCTATGTGGGAGTCCTCTCTCTTTCCATTAGGGACCTGAGATGTAGGGTGTTGCATGCAGCAGGCCCTTATAACTGCAGATTGCAGTGGTTCACGAACTCCCAGCCAGCTGTTTATTTCACGGTGCTGTGGAGTCCATGGACCATGATTATGTTGCTTGTGGGCATTTTCACCCCCTTTTAATTTGAAAAATCTTTTGTTGTGTTTTTAGTTGCAGTTCATCCCCATGCTCCTGATCTTTGGGCACCCGGGTGGAGGAATGTGGGCAGATCGATGATCTCCAAGTGGGTCTGCTCCTGGGCCTGGCCCTGGCTAGTTTGGTTATAATCAGGTCCAGGCAGTGGGTTGTGAAGGGTGTAATGTCTGCCGACTGATTTTCCCCCAGAGGTATCAGAGATGGTCCAGGTGAACTTAAGGTTGGTGTGGAAGGTGTTGGTGAAGTGGATGACATTTTTCCCTCCCCACCCTTATCTGCTTTCCGGAGAGACCACTCTCTCTGTGACCCCCTTGTCTGCTCCACACTCCCCTCCAGCCCCACCACCCCGGCACTTCTCCCTGCAACCGCAGGAAGTTCACACCTACCCCTACACCTCCCCCCTCACCCCCATCCCAGGCCCCAAGAAGACCTTCCACATCAAGCAGAGGTTCACCTGCACATCTGCTAATGTGGTATACTGTATCCACTGTTCCCGTTGTGGCCTCCTATACATTGGGGAAACCAAGCAGAGGCTTGGGGACCGCTTTGCGGAATACCTGCACTCGGTTCGCACTAAACAACTGCACCTCCCAGTTGCGAACCATTTCAACTCCCCCTCCCATTCCTTAGACGACACGTCCATCCTGGACCTCCTGCAGTGCCACAATGATGCCACCCGAAAGTTGCAGGAACAGCACCTCATATTTCGCTTGGGAACCCTGCAGCCCAAGGGTATCCACGTGGACTTCACAAGCTTCAAAACCTCCCCTCCCCCAACCGCATCCCAAAACCAGCCCAGCTTGTCCCCGCCTCCGTAACCTGTTCTTCCTCCCACCTGTCCCCTCCTCCCACCTCAAGCCCCACCCCCATCTCCTACCTACTAGCCTCATCCCGCCCCCTTGACCTGTCCGTCCTCCCTGGACTGACCTATCCTCTCCCTAACTCCCCACCTACACTCACCTTTACTGGCTCCACCCCCACCTCTTTGACCTGTCTGTCTCCTCTCCACCTATCTTCACCTTTATCCATCTTCTATCTGCCTCCCCCTCTCTCCCTATTTATTTCAGAACCCCCTTCCCCTCCCCCATTTCTGAAGAAGAGTCTAGGCCCGAAACGTCAGCTTTCCTGCTCCTCTGATGCTGCTTGGCCTGCTGTGTTCATCCAGCTCTACACCTTATTCCTGTTAAAGGGTTTGCAGCTCTTAGAGAGCTCTTGAACTAAAGGATCAGTAGGAGGTAACAGCAAGATGTCTTTCAAGTTAAGCAAGGGAGAGGAAGCCCAATATCAAGGCAACCACTCTTGGATGTGTTAATTTTTAAGTAAAAAAAAAAACAAACTACTTAACAGACCGAGGATTGTATGTTGAATTCGACAGAAAAAGGCTTTCACAAATTTGAGATTTATTGTAAATCTACAGTGTGAGTACCAGCCTCTAAGTTTTCCATAAGGACCCTTTCCCTGTCCAAAAATCTACACACCGTTGATTAATTTGGTGAGGAATGTCTTCAATCACCCAATTAGCAGACAACAAGATACAAACCTTGCACACAAAGGCAATGTAATACTAATTAAAATGAGAAGAACAGTTGGGAGTGGTGACAAGGGAGGGAACTACATCAAAATAGCATTGGAGATTGGATAACATCAACGTCTTACGTCAGTGGTGGACAAATTATTGGAAAGGGCTCTGAGAGACAGGATTTATGATCACTTGGAAAGGCACAGTTTGATTCGCGATAGTCAGCATGGATTTGTGAGGGGTAGATCATGCCTCACAAACCTTATTGAATTCTTTGAAGAGGTGACCAAACACGTGGATGAAGGTGGAGCAGTGGATGTGGTATACATGGATTTAAGTAAGGCGTTTGATAAGGTTCCCCATGGTAGGCTCATGCAGAAGGTAAGGAGGCATGGGATAGGGGGAAATGTGGCAGATTGGATTCAGAATTGGCTGACCCTTAGAAGACAAAGAGTGGTAGTGGACAGAAAATATTCAACACGGTGCTCAGTTACGAGTCGTGTACCACAAGGATCTGTTCTGGGTCCTCTTCTATTTGTGATTTTTGTAAATGATTTGGATGAAGGAGTGGAAGGGTGGATTAGCAAGTTCGCGGACGATACGAAGGTGGGTCACGTTGTGGACAGTGCAGAGGGCTGTTCTAGGTTATAAAGGGACATTGATAGAATGCAGAGCTGGGCTGAGAAGTGGCAGATGGAGTTTTACTGAAAAGTGTGAGGTGATTCATTTTGGAAGGACAAACTTAAAAGCAGAATACAGGGTTAACGGAAAGATTCTTGGCAGCGTGGAGGAGCAGAGGGATCTTGGGGTTCATGTCCACAGTTCCATGAAAGCTGCCACCCAGGTGGATAGAGTTGTTAAGAAGGCATATGGTGTGTTAGCTTTCATTAATAGAGGGATTGAGTTCAAGAGCCGTGAAGTTATGCTCCAGCTATACAAAAGCCTGGTTGGGCCACATCTGGAGTATTGTGTCCATTTCTGGTCACCTCATTACAGGAAAGATGTGGAAGCGTTGGAAAAGGTGCAGAGGAGATTTACCGGGATGTTGCCTGGAATGAAGGGAAGGTCTTACGAGGAAAGGTTGAGAGAGCTAGGGCTTTTGTCTTTAGAACGACGAAGGATGAGAGGTGACTTGATAGAGGTGTACAAAATGATCAGAGGTATAGATAGAGTAGACAGCCAGAGACTTTTTCCTCGGGTGGAGGTAGCTTTTACGAGGGGACATAGTTTTAAAGTGAAAGGAGGTAGATATCGGGGAGACATCAGAGGTAGGCTCTTTACTCAGAGAGTAGTAGGGACGTGGAATGCATTGCCGGAGAGGGTAGTAGAGTCAGCCTCATTGGGGGCACTTAAGCGGCTATTAGATAGGCATATGGATGATAGTATAAGGTAGCGGTGGAGGTTAGATAGATCTTAGGTTTCAGGTAAAAGTTCGGCACAACATCGTGGGCCAAAGCCTGTACTGTGCTGTACTGTTGTATGTTCTATAAGCCACCACAGTGCCCACTCAACAGAGGCCAGTATCCCGTTACGAAGTCACCCTATATATTATCACGAGGAGAGTCCTTGACATAGATCCAGCTCCCTCAGAGAGCCAACTCTCAGAGTCAGCAGGATGTCTGACACTCTTGTTCTTATTTGCCAGCCAGGGCTCCCCGATTGGACCAGATTAACAGGCCCAATCAAGCTGGCTGACCTTGTTACAATCATTACACCCACCTTTCTCTGAATATATCAAGCATCTTGGTGAACACTGGTTGCTCCTTGTCCAAGGATACCTAGACATAGACATAGACATAGCCATGGAAGCGAGACAGGAGACAGGAATTACCACCTTTTCCACAGCCTGCTACTTAGGCCAATTGATGAAGAACTCTTTAATGGCTTCAAATTCCGTTAATATGCTGTGCCGGGTTTGTGACCTGGCTGTACATTTATGCTAACTATTTCAATATCAGTGACAATATTGTTATACTATCACCTCCCCATAAGAACCCAGCCCTTTTGTTTTAATCTAAATAACAAATACTGCCAATCAGGGCAATGTCACAAACTACAGCGTGATGTTAGTGAAAGAAACTGATTGGTGAGTAGGCCTGGTGTATATATGTAGTCTTTATAGCAAAGGTAAAGTCTTCGGTTTATGTTGGGGTCTCCAATTTTTTTTTCTTCTCTTTTAAGAGTAGCTGCTTAAGTATGAGGTTGATACTGGTGGATATTTTTAAGTTTATAAAAACAAGATATTACAATAAAGTGTACAAAGCAAGGAGTGTAGAGTCATTGATTCATAAATTATATCAAACAAATTAAATCAAATACAATAGTGATAACAGGGCAGGTGATGTATTGCTGCTGCAATATGTGGATGCTGCTGGACACCAATTTCAAGTAAACACATCTGACATAAGTGTTTACAGCTTGATGAAATTTGGTTCCTAGATGCGCTGGAATCCAAGCTGCAGACATTGCAACACACCGGGAATGAGGAACGTTACCTGGACATTTTGCTCCAGAAGGTGATC